GACACTGGTTTTACAGCTACAATTATTCCTCATGATATGTTAATGAAAGATGGAAAATTACCGATAGAGGTGGAAAACGAAGAGGGATTGATGCGAACGGCAGATGTACATAAGGTTACAGCAAAATAGAAGTTACTTTTAGTTTAGAAAACTTCGCTAGACCTCATGATGTGTGGACAATTGACATCGAGGAAGAATGCATTTTGATAAGTGACTTCATGCAAAAACATGGATACGAAGTCAAATCAGCTTCATAGTCTTTCTGTACTTCATGATATTTAATACACTATAGGTTTAATAATGGAAAGAGAAACAGTGGTCGTTTTATCAACAAGAAGCCTGTAGGTTTACAAGGTGAAATTTGGGGTTCCAATACTCGTGGTGGGCAAACCACGTATAGCCCATTTTGTAGCCTTGCACTAAACAACAACCAAATCATTTGTAACGTATGCCTACAGCAAACTTTAGTTAGTATACAAGTTTTTATTTTGTAAAAACGTTAAAGGATGAAATATAGTAATTTATTATCATTATATGGACTGGACGTTGCCTTATCATGATCGGTATCCGGTCGTGTTGTGCGCGACCTGGGAAGGCCAAGTACGAATTTAGACCTCTGCCTTCCTTCTGTACGGTTTTGGATGTTTACTGTCAAATGTTATATTAATATTAAGAGATAAGGACACACATATGTACACAAATTCTTTTTCCCTCTTTTCTGGGACAAGAAAGGAAACAAGAAGTACTAATGGAAAAGCTTAGTAAATTTGAAAGTGAATAAAATACCTTAAAAGATGATTTACTGTCTTTTACACAAGGAGGTTATATTAGCCTCAGACCTAATCAGCCTCAGACAATGGAAAGCCCCTTCCAGACCCCGCAGCTAAACCCTAATGCAGACATCTTCAGTCCTGCCAAAAGTCACATTCCAGACATGAGTGTCAGCAATAGGGGTGATCTAGTACGAAGGAAGCCATATGAATTCGATGGGAAGGCACCATGGGAAGCATATAGAGCACTATTAGAGCTCCTGGCAGAAATGAATGGATCGACAGAAAAGCAGAAAGCAGTGTACTTGGCAACGAGCCTGAAGGGACAACCACTGGAAATACTTGGACATTTATTAGCAGACGACAGGCACATCTATAGAGCACTGTTAGCTGCTCCAGAACTCAGGAATGGAACTCAAAATCAGTCCGAAGTCTACAGGGATAGGTTTAGGACTAGAGTTCGTGCTGAAGGGGAGAACCTGCAAGAGCTGGCACAGGACTTGGAAAGTATGGCACACAAAGCCTACCCAACTGCACCACCCGATGTCCTCAAGCTGTTGCTGAGGGATCAGTTTGTAGACGCCTTGGACAGTCCACAACTGAAGATACAAGTAAAGCAAGCACACCTCTCTACTATGCAGGATGCAATGGCCAGAGCTCCTATGTTAAGTCCAGCACAGAGGTACCAAGGCTGGTACAGTCATCAGGATTCAAGGCCAGAAGAGTGCAGAGAAGTTTGAGGGACTTTGATGGCACTGTAACAAACTTGGGCACAACAAAGCTCAATGCTGGCAACTTCAACCCAGGGAAGATGCCACGGAAGGAAAGGTTTGTTTGTTTTTGAATTTCGCGCGAAGCTACACGAGGGCTATCTGCGCTAGCCGTCCCTAATTTAGCAGTGTAAGACTAGAGGGAAGGCAACTAGTCATCGCCACCCACTGACAACT